TAAGATGCATGCTTTATAATTATTCCTCCCAAGAGTCAATGGAGCTGGAGTATTTAATGGTGGGGAAATTCTCCAAGGGAGAATTAATTCTGAGGCTTTCCTGTGAGTGCCTAGGCAGAAGGAATGCCTGTGGTTTGGACAAAAAATACCTCAGGCTAAGAGGTAGAAATACTGGTGACTAAAGGTCAACCACAGGAGACAATGAAAAAGATGTGTTCAGGGACTGATGTCTACTACAGGTCCACAGAGTGTTTAGAGAGGGACTATTCTCCAGTCTAGCAATGGGCTGTGAGCTGGACCCACTGCTTTCAGTATGAAGCAGAACAAGCATGACGTCTTTAAACTTCTTAACAGATGTGTTACAGAAGGAGAAAAGAAAGGGGAGTCAGAACAAATTATTTAAGAGTCATTTCTTGGACAGTCTGGGAAGGGCAAAGTATGTAGCTGAAGAGACCTTCCCAGAGCAGTCCCTTTAGGAGAGGAAAGTAAGTTTTGTTCTGAGAAGGATCAACATGAGAACATGAGGGGAGAAACCAGTTGTTTTTGGCTACAATTGGGATGTGAGATTTAGAGTTATTCATTAAGTGTAATAATAATTGTTGGCACTGATAATAATAAAGGAACAAACACCCAAACAACAAAAGTTTTGGTGTTTCAAAAGGAAGTTTTCATGATGAACAGACCCCAAGATCTCTGTACACATGTTGATCTTTTTATGTGATTAGTCTCTTCCAATCTCTTTCCTTTGAGTTCTTCTTCTAGGAAGCAATGTTTTGCCATCATGCCTCAAAGTCCTAACCTGTCATAAGTTGAAGTTAAAGGGCTTGGGAGCAGAACAGAGAAGGAAGTGGGGTGTGGTGATATTTTCTTTGTGCACCTCAATAAAGTTTATCTGAGGATCAGAGGAAAAAACCAGCCACTATATTAAACATAGAAGTCAGGCAATGGTAGCATATGTCTTTAAACCTAGAATTTGGGATGCAGAGATCCATCCAGATCTCTGTGAGTTCAGGCCCCACTGGGAACAGAGCCAGGCATGGTGGCATACACCTTTAAATGCCAACACTAGTTAACCATAAAGGTCTGGAGGTCTGTACAGACAAACAGGAAGTGACAGAGCTGGGCAGAAAGAGGAAGTGATGTAGCTGGGTGGAGAGAGGAAGTTAGATGGCAAGGACAGAAAGGCATAAATACAAGAAGTAGGCATTCTGTATATCTTTCTTTACTTCTTACTCCATGGCTGGTTGTGTGGCTGGGTGCCTGGCCTCTAATGTCCTCTCTCCTTCTTTTCTTGCTCCTCTATTCCCTCTTCCTTCCTATTTATTCTCTCTGCCTGCTATCCCTGCCTATTCCTCTCTCCTGCCTCTCTATTGACCATTCATCTCTTTATTAGACCAATCAGGTGTTCTAAACAGGCAAAGTAACACAGCTTCACAGAGTTAAACAAATGCAACATAAAAGAATGCAACAAGTATTTGCATCATTTAACAATTGTTCCACAGCATAAACAAACAACGCATCTTTAACTAATATTCTAAAACACTGTTGTTTTTAACTTATCAACTCATGATATTTTGTTAAAGCAATGCAAAGAGATTAATACAGGCTCAATCAAGTTAAAAGTTCCTTTTTGACAGTTCAGAGGCAGACAAATTGTCCAAGATGGGTGAATGACTCTGTCCAAGGTTCTAGGTTGAGTCTACCTTGTATTCCATTGTTTTCAGTAAGTGATTCTGTGCTTGCTGTCCCATCTACTCCCACCATGCCTTCTAGCTCTCAGCAAGGATGGGACAAAGAAGTGGGAGCTACACAGTTTCTTTTGAAGATTGTGAGGAGGAAATTGTCCACATCATTTTTCACATATCATAGGTCAGATGTGATCATGTGATCATGTTTAAAACTATAATGGGGGTTAGGAATTATGCTCTTTCTCCGACTACTTCTGTGTACTTTCAAAACTGTAGTGGCAAAATTATTACTAAAAGACAAAATAGAAGAGCAACTATTAGGAACAAACAGAAAAAGCATGCCAATATCTGCTTGCAGAATTTTGTTGACTGATTTCGTGAAAGTTCTGTGCCATCTTTAAATAGAATGTATTATGTCCTGAAGTCCTGATCATTATACTTTTATATTTGCTTACTATGACATACTGAGGGTAAGTTTAACTTCAAAGTGAATTTAATAATGAATACCACATAATTTTACTATAGCCTCATGAAATATAGTAACATGATTTTTAAAGCAATTCATTGCAGATTTTACTGTCAATTTTTACAGTTTTAGTATCTCATCTTTATTTATAAGCATTCAAGACCTGTATATCTTTTCATATTAGTTTTCATTTTTACTGAGTAATATTGACTTGAATTTAGTGTGACTGATCAATCATTTGACTATCTTCTAAAATGAAACTTAAATAAGAATCTGGAACTCAAGTCAACATGATACAAATTGTGGATCTTCCCAGATCTGAGATCCTAGACTTCCTTTGGTCTCTCCTGTCACTGGAAATCTGGTTCCATTTCATAACTTAGTATCCAAGATTGTGCTCTCTATAGTCACTTTCAGAGTGGATGCTCAGTTGATACTGGTTGCATGATTGATTACTATGGCCAGAACCCATCAGAACTGTGTTAATCTTTTCTATTCTAGATAAAAATGAGCTTTTGCTGATGGTCATTCAACAATATAATGGCTTATTTCAAATGAATAAATAATGTATTAGTAAATATGGTGGAGAAATATAACATATCAATTTTTAGATCTTCAGAAATATTTCTCTTTTTAAGCATAACAGTGCCTAGTATAACAGATTCTTAGAAAGTGGGACAAAGAAATATGTTTTTCACCAATAAGTAACAAAGGACACCACTGGCAATCATTCTTTATTTTAGTGTTAAATGACTTTATGGAAATATTTCTCTTTCATGATTCAGAGAGGATAGCAATGTATAATTTAAAGAAATCTTGGTTTGAGAAATACCATTTACACAGAGTTAATATATTAACATTTTTAACAATTACCCAATTGTTACTCTATTTTTGAACAGGTTATTCAATAAGCTTTTGCAGAACCTTACAGCCTGGTAAGTTTGCAGGACCTTATAAACAGTGCTTTTTACTCAATTCTTTCTCTGGTTTTTGCTCAGTGGAACTCTATGGGAAATTCTGGAACCACCTGGAAAATAGTAAGAAATATTACAGATATAGCATAAAATATCTGTCTCCAATTAATGCAAAACTTAATCTACTTGTTTGACAGTGGTTATCTCATTCTTCCTCCTTCAAAAAGTAATTCCATTCTTCATTTTCCACAGGCTTCTTCATAGTAAGTCATTGTCAGTAGATGCATGTGTTCCCCTTTTCTCTATCTCCCAAACATTTTAAACCATGTTTAATATTAGTAATTGATTTAAAATTAGCAATTTAATAACATGATTATTTTGACACATAAATCCATGGCCGTTTGACCCCTAATTCTTTGCCTTTAATAGCATTTACACATTTTTAATTCTTCTATATTTTGTAAAATTCATTGATGTTTTCCAAAAGAATATTTGTAACAAATTTTAGCATTAGAAAATGCTTCTTAACTACTAGAACAGGCAGGGGTAGGGAAGATGTTTATTATTTTTTTCTGGACAGATGATAATAGAAAATTTATTTAATAAACCAGTCTCTTCAATCAATCCCTGATTCCATAAAAATTTATCTACTTACACACCTACTACTTTAAAGAAAGTTTGATGATAAAGGTAATAGTTTTAATGTTTTTTGAACAATTAACTTGGAATTTCTAAACAAAGATTAAAGTTGGCTTTTTAATATTTTTCTGTTGAAATGGAATCAAACTGACACTAACATTAACATCCTTACCTAAAGAGAGTGAGAGTGATCAGTTTCTCTGTTCCTCAATTCTCAGCTCACACATAGGAATTGGCACCAACTTTTATGAGTTGTAGGAATGCTGCAGTTATATTATTCTTTGTAACAATCTCTTCTGCTTTGTACATTGTATTCCTCACTCTAATCTGGAAAAAAAAATCAATAGCTCTGCCCCAAATCCTTAGACTTTCTGAATCAGATTGTGCCTACTTTGCTGAATAATATGTTGTAGTCTGTAGGATCAGCATAGAGTATGGAAAATGGTGAGTTTAATGCTGGTTCAATTAGAAAGCAGAAACAAGTTCTTGATTAGAGCATGAAATTAAGATACTTTCTGTCCAGGAAAGTATTTCAAAGGAATCAACTATTTGTCTAGAAAAGGCATAAATGTCATTCTGTACATATGACCCTCCCCACAAAAGAAATATGCTTTTCCATTTAGATTTTGGTGTTTGTCCTTTTTGTTGTTTTTTTGTTTGTTTTTGGTTTTGCTTTTTGACAGGGCTTCTCTGTGTAGTCTTGGCTGTCCTGAAATTCACTCTGTGGAACAGGCTGGCCTCGAATTCATAGAGATCCTCTTGCCTCTTTCTCCTGAGTGCTGGGGTTAAAGGTGTGTGTCTCCACTGCCCAGCTGGTGTTTGTCCTTTTAATAGGCTGTTTCTAGAAATGTGTATTGGCCATCCACCTGGTTTATATTTTTCCATGAACATGGTAAGTGGGAGTCACTTCCCAAGAAAGAAAGGGACTTGAATTTTCCTAATATCTAAGGTGCCTTAATGCTGCTTTTGAGGATGGAGAGTGGAGTTGGTTTTGGCTGTGTGCAATGCCATTAAACTCCTCCCCCGTGTATTTTCTAAGGTTTATTCATTATAATTGTTAATTGTACTTTTTAAATTTGCTTTAGCATCAGGGTATGAGGCTGGCTCTAAGAGCCAGCAGCAGGCATATGAACTAGATGAGGAGGGAGAGGGTCTGGGGTTGTGCTGAGCCTGGCTGGGGTTGGTGGAGGAGAGCACTCTGGAGGGGTGGCACACACTGCAGTGACAGTCCCTCCCAAGGCTGGTTGAGGCACCTCACTGGTGACGGGTCTGAAAGCACGTGGCTACGTCATGGAAAGCCAGTCTTTTCAATGCAAACTTCAACTCCTCCTCCTCCCTCTAATGCCTGTAACTCACAGCCAAGGCTGGGCGAGGAATACGGAGGAGAGATTTTCCTCATGCTCACGGTGCCTGGAGACTGGAAGGAAGAGTGTAAGGAAGGAGGAAGGAAATTTGTGGCGCTTTCTACCTACTACGAGACTGACAAGGGGAGGGGGCATCTTCTCTTCGTGATTAAGAACTGCAGTTTCAGTCCGATCCCACGGAGCTCTGGTGATTGCTTATTTTTTTAAAAAAAATTGACCGCGGGAGAACGAAGGCTCAGTCTTTGGCGGCCAGACCAATCTAGGAGGTGGTATTGGTGTATGAGTGTGTATGGTGGTGTTTTTTTTTTTTCTTTCTTTCTTTTTTCCTTTCTTCCTTTTTTTTCCTCCCCCCCCCCCCCCTTTTTTTCCCTTCTCTCCTAGGGGCTACACAATGGCAGTCTTCTCTCGCTAAGATGAATCCGGTTTGCCTTCTGCAGATCCGCCCATCCTCAGTTCCATTGAGTAAAAGGCTATGATTTTCTCTTTGGGGATCTTTTGTGCATTCCTGTTCTTCCTGATTAGTTCTGGTCTCGGTTGGGATTTCTTTGCTTCTTTTGGTTTGGCTTCATGTGAAAAAGGATTTTTTCTCTCCAACCCTTTGGTCATGATCCAGTGGTGATCAAGAGGGGATAAATCATTCACCCTGGCCGAGAAAAAACAATCGCTGAGAAGTCTCAAAGAGATATACCACGTGAGGGGAAAAAACTGGGAGAAGATTCGGAATATTAACGTTTTTCCTATGGTAAAACCGGTGCCCCTCTTCAGGAGAACTGATTTCAAGTTATTATTATGCAACCACAAGGGCCTCTTCTTTCTCAGGGTGTCTAAGCTGCTGGGTTGCTTTTCGCCCAAATCAATGTGGTTTCTTTGGAACATTTTCAGCAAAGGAACGCATATGCTGCAGTGTCTTTGTGGCAAGAGTCTTAAGAAAAACAAGAACCCAACTGGTAAGCAAAGCATGCATCATATTCTGTTTTTTCCTTGTAATATCCTGTCTGTTGCTCACTGAGCTAGGTCTGCAGTTTTGCTATGCAGGATGCCAGGGAACATGCAAGGAACCCGGACAGTGTTGCATACAGAGGTGTTGCATGAATAAACAAGTAGCCACCGCCGGATCTGCGTCCTCTTAACCCGAAAACCGTGATCAACAGCTCTCAGCTGTGACACAATCTATCACTAGGAGGGAGGAGGAAACTTTTTTTTTAAATCCCCCTACTAAATGGATTTGGTCTCCCGTGTCTGGTGGAATATTGAAGGGCTTGTGGCTTACGGCTGTGCCAGGAGAAAGAGCAGAGAGCTTGCTTTACTTCTGCTCCTCCGGGACATAGCTTTAGACTTTCTGATTAGCTTGCACAATATTCGCCATCCCATCACCTCTAGCAAAGTAAAAGCGCCCCCTCTCTCCTGGCCCGGCTCGTCCGTCAGCCCCCGCCTCCCCCCTCCCGTCCCCCCCCCCCCCCCCCCCCCCCCCCCCCCCCCCCGTCCCCCTCGTCTAGCTCTGGGTGCTATTAACTCATTCCCTAGTCTGCCTCTGACACATCCAGCCTGCGAACAGTGAACACTGGAGCAGGGCTTGTACCTGGGGGAACCAGACCCAGAGGACAAACCCAGTCCCTCTAGAATATACCATTTAAGTCCCTTCCCCTTTCAAAAACCGGAGTGGAAACCCTGTGTAGGTCCCAGGACGACTAGCGGGTCCCTGGCTTATACCTCCTGGCGATCATGCGCCCCGATTTCAAAGGGCTCCAACAGGGAAACTTGCAGTATATTACATAAGAAATGCAAATGCAGGTGATTTGGGGAGCCGTTCCCAGGGGTTTACTTCTCTGTGTCTAGTCTGAGGCGTTTCAGAGCAGTGGAGTCGTGGGCGAGCAGCCCTTAAGCAGCCAGGCCTGAGGGCTGCCTGGTGGTGGCAGCTGTGGTAAAGGAGGCTGGGTGCAGTCTTTCCTGAAATCATTCCTGCTGTCAGCTAAGAGTGTGCGGCATCCTTTGGCTGGGATGGGGTGGGATTTGACCTGGAGCGGTTTTCTTTTTTCTTTTTCTTTCTTTTTTGGTCTGTAGTTGTGCTTGAGGGGCGGGGGATCATTTGTCCTGCCGCGGCAGCGGGGCGACTAAGACGGCTCAAGCTGTCACTGCGGTGCACTAGATCTTGGCTCTCCGCGGCAGCCTTGACACCTGGAGCTCAGAGCCGGCCACGCTGGCATCCAGAACTCCCACGGCTGGGCAGCAAGTGGCTGCTCGCTCCCAGCCTCTAAGCCTAGCAAATGTAGCATCACCAAGATGACGCGAGCAGAGGGGGCTGCGGCCCAGTGGCTGCAGGGAGAACAGAGGAGCGTGGGTGGGCGGGGTTGGAGGCAGTGGGTGTGGAGGTCTAGGACGTTTTTGCAGCCACCACTTATGCAGCAAAAGGCAAGGTGCATGCGAGTTGTTAAGAGTGTCCAAAAGGGCTGATGTTCCTGTGCTCAGGCCAAGGGAAGTTGCTCCTAGCTGGGAAGCTTAGAGGACTGTGGAGGTTCTGAGAGGAGCCAGCTATTGGCTTCCAGGAGGGTTCCTTGCTGCAGTGGAGTTGTTGTCACTGTCCTACAGCCCTGGTCCCTGAGTTCTAGATCCACGCCCTGTCTAACCAGCCTCCTTCACTGTCTCCTGTCCTTTTACCCTTTTGTTTCTTAACTACTCAGCGTTTAGTGACTCTGGAATGGTGTTCTCATCCTGAGACTTGTCTAAGGGGACAGCAGACTGGACACCTTACTTAGCAGAGCATTACTGATACAGGCTCAGGGTGTACTCCTGGTCCTTGGCAACCAGCCTAACACTACAGATGCTTGGTTCAATTACCCACCTACATCTGCAGCACCGGTTCATGTCCTGGGCATGAAATAGCTGTCTGTAGGACTTCCCAAAGTGAGACAGGTCAAAGGCTGTAAGCCTTCTTGGGTTATTTTGTGAAAAGATTTAGCTCTCTTGATGAATGGGAAATAATTCAGCGGGAAGAAACAGTAAGTTTGTTCCGAGGCCTTTATGTTTTTACTGTAAATAATTTTACTGGAAATGCCAATCCCTCCACCACTAGGTTAAAGTTCTTTTTATTACACTTCCCCCTCCCCACCCACTTTCATCTCTCTAGAATAGTTTTCTCTTTCCAAAGTGTTTTGGAAGGTGTTAAACAAATGGTTATTTATTTTAAGAGCAATTTATTTTGCAGCTTATATATGCTAATGTACTTGAGTGTCGAAGTGATGGGTTAACCCATGGTATGTCTGACAACATCACCAAATACTCTAATAGGATAGTTATGTCTTAGATTGCCAGTGATTTGAGTCCAAATTGGAAGTCAGAGAATTTTGGAGATTAAAAAAAAAATGGAACATTGATGTATCAAACTATGTAGCTGGCATTTAAAAATCTTTGATCTTTTTAGTTGGACTCAAACCTGTGCCTGCCATTTCCTCTGGATATTGTACTTGGTGTGGTCTATTCTTCTGCTATTAACACAAAGCCTATAATCATTTGCAGCTTTTGATCCCAAGATAGCAATACAACTAAGAATTTAATTGGGTAATTAAAATAAAACAAGGACTAAAATCCTCTTAACTGTTAAAAACAAAAAGAACAGATTGACTACTACCTATTATATTATCTTAAATCTAAAAGGAGGACAATTAACTGGTTTCAAATGAAAAAGCTTGACAGAAGGCTGCCAAGCACTGGAGAATTGGTGCAAAGCATCCCTTATGATTTCAAAGACAGATTTTAGGCTGTGTTTTCTTCCTTATCTTTGTAAGTTATGAAATAATTTACTGATTTTTTTTTTGGTTCTTGAAATCATCAACAAGTGTGGGGAGTTGGGCTAAAGATTCCTGGGCTAAAGGTTTTAGAGCAGGTTAGTGTAAAAATAAGCAGATAATAGAGGTATGTATGGATTTACTACTTTGTCCTGTAGTTGTGTTATATGATATCTAGTGAGAAAAGATCATGCAGCATGTGTTTGTGCTACATATTATTTTAAAAATTGAATCACAATGGTTTAAAATATTTGGATGTAAAGTAAAACCTACTAATTTAAAAAAAGTACCTAGTATTTCAAAGTACAGTGGTTATCAGAGAATACATTCGGATGCACATACATGCTCAAATGTCCTACTTCCTATTTCCCTAGCTGAGCAATAGCTGTGCATATAGAAGAAATGTTACCTGCTGTAGCTTTTGCTGTATGAGTCATGAAAGGTGACTGTATTTTAGGCAAATCAATTAAATAGGAATACTAAGTACAAGGTGCTATTTTTTTGGGCCTGGAAAGGGCTTGGTATTTTTTTTGAACCAGTATAATAGTTTAGAATGTCCAATGTATATAATAGGCTGATTTAGAGAATAATCTAGGTCACTGCTTTTGAAGCAAAGAATGATAAGGTAAAAAGTATGATTGATAAGTACTAAGGTTGTGTTGTTGCTGTCTCTCTAGATTCATAAAACAAGCAAAGGAAGTCAGGGACTCTTTCACATACTGTACCCAATACACCACAGACAAGATCCCCAAGCCTTCTCACAATGTATGAGAATCTTCTTGAGTACAGACGTCTATGGTGGGAAGATATATAGGAAGTGGATTACCTAGACATAATTCCACAGAGTGCACTGGAAACATTCCACAGATTCATGGCCTTTGGTGTTCCCATCAAGGCCTTTTGAAGTGAGAAAATAGGGAGATAGGGAAGGAAAAAACCACCAAGTGTACAGCAAATGAAGATATCAAATTCAGATAGCATAGACAGAATAAGAAACAGGTGGAAAGTTATTCTTGTAACTTTCTTAAACTGAGTTGGGCCTGGTTTCCATCCAGGAAGGTCTTAGTTACTGAGGTAGTAAAGTGAACTATACCAAGCAGTGCCACTTCATGAACCAAAGGTATTATTTTTAGCAAGGCTTCCAAATACTGAATTGCTAGACGAGTGGACTTTTTTTTATTTTCTTTAAGTTGACACCCAAGTTAACAAGTGTAAAATCAATGCATGATAATGTGAACTCACCTTTAACAATGAGGATGATGTTTAAACAGTGCATTACTCTTCAAATGTGCTAAAGCTAACTCTATACTGTGCTTCACATTCCCACAGTGAACTGTTCCTTTACAGTGGTCGAATCCAGCTTTCCATATTTTAGCAAGATACACATTGGAAACTTTTGTGTTTTCATACAAATGGTAACAAGGACAGTAGTCAATGCTTTTGCTCCTTTGCTCATTTTGACATCTTGTCTCATTCACCTTCACTCATACGTTTTCTATAAATACCATGTATATGTATTAAAGTGGAAGCATTTATTCCAAATAGTTTCTTATGCTTTACGGGGAAACAGTTGAGACACTTGAAGAGTGTGGCAAAAATTCTGTCCCTGTGAAGTTTATCTAGCCATTGCATTATGCCTAGAGTTAAATAACAAGCAAAAATCTTTGAACCCAACTTAGCCCTACTCTCAAGTCAATGTGGGTCAGGGATAGTCTATATTGTTCCTTAAGCCTTTGGTTTATGCGCCATGCATTGGATCCAGGTGTGAGCTGAACCTGGGCATTGACTAGCTGGGCATTTTCTGAAGGAGATGGCTCAATTTCTTAATTTATTCCTGAGATGAAATTTCAGATTTTTGCTATTCTGTTTTGGAAGAGTCACTAATCCTGATGTTTTCCCTGTGTATTTCTCCAGTCACTACAAAATAATGCTTTTTCTTTGGTCAAAGATATACAGTGATTAGGGAAGTCAAAAAGAGAAACTCCTAGGATTTTGTAAACATGGAGGTCAAAAGAAAGAACAAGGAACACATTTACAGAGAATCTGTTATATAGGGAACACTGACAGTGGTTTTGGACATTACTGCACTTCCTGTTTTCTGATAAAGCTTCTGCATGTGTCAGACTATCCCTGACCCACATTGACTTGAGGATAGGGCTAAGTTG